ACTCCACGTCATGTATTTCACTCCCTCCCTTGCCCTTCGAGATCCCCCCTCAGCCACGGCCGCGCATCTCTGGCGCGTCGCGCGGCGAGCGGCCTCCACGGTTGGTTCGGTTGGTCGGGCTAGTCCCGGTTGGTCCGGCGGTTGGTCCGGGAAGTTGTCGGGGGCTGCCAAGAAGGGGGCGTCCAAGAGGAGGGGGGGGGGGGGGGGGCAAATCATGGGGGGCGGCATGTGCGTGGCCCAAGGGGGGCCAAGGACGTAACTAAATAGGAAGAGGCGCCGTGAAATATGAGGAAATATCATGGCCCACGCCATGATATCCACCCCACTCCTTGTCATCACCCCCTCTTGGCCGCCCCCGAAGGGGGGGGGCCTGGTGGTCTGGTTGGTCCGGGGCGTGGTCCGGATGGTCTGGCGGTCAGTCCGGGGGCGTGGGGCCGACTGAAAAGGACATCTGGGGCCGTCTTGGGCCCTCGGAGGGTACTCGCGAACCAGGCTCCCCGGCAGGGCCCGAAGTCGTTTCGGAACAGTTTTCTATGGACATTGGTATTCGTCGTGTCAGCGCAACTATATACAACAAAAGAAAACTGAAACAGAGAGAGAGAGAGAGAGAGAGATGTCGAGGAATTCTAAACACCGTGCGGCCCTTCCGAATGAATCTGCCGCTGGGGAAGTGAGCAACCAACATAGATGTTCAGATATTTCTTCGGGAAAAAGGAAGAGAGACATATAGAGACAGAGACGTATAGAGACAGAGAGAGGGAGAGATAAAGAGAGAGAGAGAGAAAGAGAGAGAGAGAGAGATAACGAGAGAACGAGAGAGAGAGAGAGAAAGAGATATAACAAACAAACAAACAACCTATCCCTCTTGACCCCTTCACCCCTCCAAGGGGAGGTTTACCCGCGAGGAGGGAACGGTGCCCGATGCCCTACCGTCACAGCAGACATGCCACCACGCAGCGTCCCTGCGCGCGCCACCACCGCGGGGCAGGCGTCGTTCTTTTCCGCCGCGCGCGCGCGAGAGGGCGGGACAGTCGGCCGAACGGGGCGGCGGGGTGATCGCGCGCGGCACGCGCGCGAGCTGGGGGAGGCAAGGCGGCGGGAACGGAGGAGTGAGTGTCGCCGCTCCTCGAGGATCGAGGCGTTTCGGGGGCTCCCCCGGTCCCCTTCCCCGCTCCCCCCCCCTCCTCCTCCTCCTCCTCCTCCTCCTCCTCCTCCTCCTCCTCCTCCTCCTCCTCCTCCTGCCGCTCCTCCTTCGGCTCCTCCCGCTCCTCCTCTTCCTCCTCCTCCTCTTCCTCCTCCTCCTCCTCCTCCCGTTTCCTCAGGAGGAGGAAGACAAGCAGGAGGAGGAGGAGGGAGGGGAGGAGGGGGAGGAGGAGGAGGAGGAGGAGGAGGAGGAGGAGGAGCAGGAGGAGGAGGAGGGAGGAGGAGGAGAAGGCGGAGGAGGAGGAGGAGGAGGATCGTCAAAGTAGACCCAGGATGCACCAGCGACGCTGCAACACACACACACACACACACATTCCAGGCCCCCAAATCCCTTCGAAAAGCCCCCACGAGCCATCCGCTTCAATACGGGAAGCGCCCGCTAGAGAGGAGATCGCCCCCTGGAATTGCCATTCGGGCGGGAGCCCCGTTTTGAGCAGGATCCGCTCTTCAGACTTGCAGTTGCAAGGAATCTCAGGTGAATATCAAGTAAACAACGATCATCTTTTCGCGGAGGAAGCGCAGCCCATCCGCAAAAACATGCCATGCTTTGCATCACTTACCTCTGTAAATCTCAAATGAAGACCTCTCAACCGACACCCCCCCACTGAAATAGAACCGCCTTCTATCCGCGAGCTGCTGCCAGTGTAACGACGATTGTCCGCGGCGCTCAAGCGCAAGCCGCTGTTTGAAAATCATCCGACAGTCATCCGCGTGTATGCTCTATCTGTAAAACGGATGCGCGAGACACTGAGGCGAGAGCCGCACTTTGAAAACTACCTGCCGTTCGCCTCTGTAGCAACTCGAACTTGACAATGTCATTACCGCATGTGGTGAAGAGGTCTCAACGGAAATGCCCTCAACTACACTACCAACATGCCTAGTGGTACAACGAAGAGTTGTTTACGAGAAAGATGCTCGGGAAACGAACATGGGGGGTCCCGGCCACCACTAGGGAAAGGGATGGGCCAACGAGGTGGGATCGATAGCGGGCAACTCAGATGCCTGGGATAGAGTCCCACGCCGCATCCATGTCCGCCTGGATGGAATGCAGAAGTGCGAGCAAGCGATGTATCTATACATTTTAAAGAGAGAAGGAATCTTTACACGTGCACACATCTGTATACAGAGACACGAACGGGTAGGCACGATGCACACTGGAGTTATACATATAAGAGAGAGAGAGAGAGACAGACAGAGACAGATAACATTTGAGGCATACACATACGTTCACATACGAAATTCTATCCGTAGATGCAGAACGTCACGAGCGCATGTCCATACACAAGCACAAGCATTAACATACCTGTACAGATCTAGATATACACAAAGAGGGAGAGAAGAAGAGAGAGAGAGAGAGAGAGAGAGAAAGAGAGAGAGAGAGAGAAAGCGAGCGAGACAGAGGTGCATGGAGGGACAGGCAGAGAAAGAGAGAGAGAGAGAAACCCTGCTACATATATGCATATGCATATATATATATATATAAATATGCAGAAGACTTTACAGGCTCGCTTCGCTTCGCCTCGAACACCTTGATCGCATGGCGCCAGAGAGGCCCGCCGCGACCGGCACGCGCCAGTGCCGCGATGCGCTTCGGCCATAGGGTCACGCGAAACTAACAAGACCTGTGGGCTCTACCGGGTCAGAGGGCTCAAACCCAACGTGTCAGGTGGGGAACATGTCCTTCCTGGCCCCGCCGCGTGGGACATCCTCAAATTTGTAGACTGGGTGGTGGGTTGGTTGGCCGGTTGGTTTGTTGTTTGGGTGGCCAGCTGGCTAATTGAACGGTTGGTTGATCCTTGGTCAATCGGCCTGCCGGTCGGTCGGTCGGGGGTCGGCCGCATTCAGCCAGCGGCTGCAGCTGCCACAAGTTTCCCCGGCACGCGGGGAAAGTGAGCGCGTTGTTTCATTCGGCGTTTCGACATTGGGCGGAAAGGGGGGGGGGTCTGGCTCCAGACCTCTGCTCAGTGCGAATGTTTGCAAGAGTGCTGCCTCTGGGGGAGGCTCCACCTGCTCGAACCAGGCGCCAAAAAACAGCCAAGATCTACTCCATTGGGAGGGGGGGGGGGCCCGCGCCGATCGGCAAAACAATGACTGAAAAAACGATCACAAAAGCGCCCGAGACTCCGCACACGTTTTGGGAGCTGGCGCCGTCGCCCTGCATGCCAAAGGGGCTGCGGTGTCGGATCCGCGCGTCTTCGGAGTCTGGGGCGGGTCCTCCGCCAGTCCGCCAGCGACTCGGCGAACCACGCAGGCCTGCCGCGGGCAGGACGTGCATTCTTCAGCCGCTCGGCCTCCGCCTCCGCGGCCGAGCATCCACAGAGCCCGCTGTAGCTGCTCGCCGCCCCGGGGAGATGACGCCAGAGGGATGACGTCGGGCCCCAGATTCGCCTTCCACGTCTTGCTCAGCAGTGCAAGAACAACCTGCGGCCAGTGCGCGCCCTTCTCGCACGGGCTGGCCCCGGCCTTGTGGCTGATAACGTTGGACTCCAGCCCCGCCTCCCACGCCTCGCTTAGCAGCACCAAACCCGCTGCCACTTCCCGCCTTTCTCGCACGCGCTGGTCCCAGCGCTGTCATTGGTGACGTTGGGCTCAAATCAACGACGTCGCCCGATGCCAATGGCATGTTTCGCACGCGCTGACTCCATCATTGTAGCTGATGATGTTGGGCCCCAAGATCACCTCCTACACCTCGCTGAGAAGACTCTCTGAGCCCGCTGCCCTATTCACATCTTTTCTGCACGCGCCAATGCCAGCGCTGTAGCTGAAGACGTTCGGCTTCAACTTCGCCTCCCACGCCTGCCTGAGCAAAGTCTTCGGTGGCAACTCGTGGGAGCCTCCCATGCCATCTTGTCGACTCTAGCGAATCGAACGAAGCTAGTCGACGCTAGATCGACGCTAATCGACCCTAGATCGACGCTTACCGACGCTAGCCGACGCTCAATCGGCGCTGCCACATCGACGCCCAGACACTAATCGACGCCAAAGACGGAGCCAAGGCGGCACACTAGGCCCCCATGATTAGCTACAGGAGAAATCCGAGCCCTCATCCCAGCATTGTAGTTGACAACAGCGGGCTCCAGCTTCGCCGTCCACGTCTCCCTGAACGCTGCGGCAGGTCGCCCTTCCTGCCCGCGCCGGCCCCAACGCTGTCTAGCTCATAACGCTGGGCTTCCGTTTTATCCACGTAGCGCAGAGCAGCGACAGGGCCTGCTGCGACTGCTTGCCCTTCTCGACCCTGCTGATCCCGTCGCGGGAACAAATACGACGCTGGGTTCCAATATTACCTCGCGCATTTGGCCGAGCAGCGCCTAACCACGCAGCCACTGATCGCCCTTGTCGCACGCGCTGATCCCAACGCTGTGACTGATGACGTTGGGGTTCTGCTTCACCTCCCATGTCTCGCTGAGCAGAAACAGAACCTGCTGCCATTGATTGCTCTTCTGGCTCGCGCTGATCCGAAGGCTGCAATTGACGATGGCATTGGGCTCCAACAACGCCTCCCACATCTCGCTGAGCAGCGCCAGCGCCGGCTGCCATTGCTCGTCCTTGCTTGCGCACGTTGATCCCAGCACTGTAGTTCTGATAACGTCCGAATCCTAACACCGCCTGCCACATTTCGCTTAACAACGCTCGAGCCCGCTGCCACTGCGCACCTTTCACTCACGCACAGTTCCCCAGCGTTGTAGCTAACTAGCCTGTCGTACCGTCTCTCCGCAGCAGAGCGCCGATCGCAGAGTTGTAGCAGGTTGCGCAGGGTTGTAGCAGGTTGCGTCGGACTACAGCTTCGCCTCCCGCATCTAGCTTAGCAGAGCCAGGGCCCGCTGCCACTGCTCGCCCTTCTCGCGCGCGCTGATCCCAGTGCTGTAGCCGATGGCGTTGGGCCTCAGCTTCGCCTCCCACATCTTGCTCGGCAGCGCCAGGGCCCACTGCCACTGCTCGCCCTTCGCGCACGCGCTGGTCCCAGCGCTGTAGCTGACTAGGGCGAACCCGTGGACTTCGTCCACGCGCTTCTCGAGGTGGTGCTTGAGGAGCACCTGGTCCTCCTGGGTCATCGGCCCGAGATGGCTCATGGCGCCCTTCGCTTTTGAGAGCCCTTGTGTGAAGGGCTGGTCACCGCTCTCTCTTGGGAGCTGTGCCTGGGAGAGCTCTCTACGCTGCGGCTCGCTCTTGGGAGCTTTGGTGAGAAGAGCTTTGTACTTCACCGATCGCTCTTTTAATGGGCGTCTCTGGGCCTGCTTGGTGGTCCTTGTGGGGGGGGGGCATTCTGAGGCTTTTTTGGGCTGCTCTGGGAGCGTTTTGGGACGTCTTGGGGCCATTTTGGACCGTCACGGAGCGTCCGGGCGGCCTTGGACCGTCTTGGAGTTCTCTTGAGGCTGCCCGAGGCCGTCTTGGGAGCCTCTTGGGGCCCCCTCGGAGCTCTCTTGGAGCCGTCGTGGGGTTCTGTGAAGCCGTTTTAGGGCTCTCTGGCGTCGTCTTGGGGCTCTTGTGGGCCGTCTTGGAGCCCTCTTAGGGGCCTGGCTTCTTCTTCGGGCGATTTGGGAGGCCTCTTGGCGTGTCCTGGGCCGCTGAGGAGCACACAAGGCAGGCATGCTGAAAATATACGTTTTCCTATGGGGATGTGGCGTTTTTTTAGCCTCTTTGGCGTACTCTCGGGGCCCTCTTGGGGAGTCTTTGCGGACTCACGGATCTTCGTGGAGCCCCCCCGAAGGCTTCGGGCCCTCGTGGGCCGTCTTGGGACCCTCTGAGGCCGTCTTGGAGCGCTCTTGGACGGTCTGGGAACCCCTCTGGAGCGCCTCTTGGACCGGCCTGAGCGATTCGGCCCCATGGTGGCGCCGTGAAGGGGCGATTTTGTCCACTTGAGGCCCTGGGCTTCTCGCACGCGCTTCCACCGGCCATATAGGAGAGACTAGTGTGAGCCCGTGGTTAAATCCACGGCGTGCTGAAACTGGGACTCGCCCGCCGTGGGTGAACAGCTCGTCGAAGTTGAAGTGTCTCTGGGGCCGTGTCGGGGGCATGTTGGGTCCTCCTGCGAGCCCGTCTGGGGCGTCTTGAAAGCATCTTAAAGCTCTTGGGAGCCTCTGGGAAGCTGTGGGGGGCGGTTCTTGGGCCCCCCGGAACTCTCCGTGAGCGACGGGCCGCGGCGTCTCGCTCCACTTGATTTTTGAAAGCTGTCGAAGTGCTATTGGGCTCTCGTTGAGGCCTGCGTCATGTCCCCCTGGGCCAATGTGGAAGTGTGGTCGGGTCCTCTTGGGAGCCTCTGGAGGATTTCGGGGACGTCTTTCGGGCACCCGACATGCCCGTGAGCGAGATGCCGCGGCATCTCGCTCTGGGTCGATTTTTGGATCGCGGCTCTTAGGACTTTGGTTTCTGCTAATTTATCGAGCCAGCCCAGGGCCCGTGGTCTTCAGCAACCTCCCCGTGGCACCTGGCGCCGACGTCCTTCGTCATGGACGACGCAGAAAGCCTCGCGCGCTACCGCCCCCGCCGTGCCCAGACCGCCTGCTGATAATTGTATCTCGCCCCCCGTCGTCTGCGGATCTTGGTTCGTGCGAGCGCGCACCTACAAAAATACCAAATCGCATGAGAAATACTGGCCATCGCGACCCGTAATCTGTGCCCGCGGTCGTTGTCGTCGTCGTCGTCGCCCGCCTGCCCGCGCGCCCGCCGGCCCGCCGGCCCGCCCGCTCGCCCGCCTGTCCGCCCGCACGCGCGCGCCCGCCTCCCCGCCACGACGACGACGACGACGAGGACGACGACGACGACGACGACGACAACGAGAACGACGACGATGATGACGACGACGACGACAACGATGAGACGACGACGACGACGACGACGACGACGACGACGACGACGACGGTGAGGACGACGACGACGGCGGCGACGCCGACGACAACAACGACGACGACGACAACGAGAACGACGACGAGGACGACAACGAGGAGGAGGACCACGACGAAAACGCCGATCAGGACGGCCATGGACATTCGGTTTCCCTTAGAATCCTAGGGAAATACAAGCAGTCCTCACAGGTAGCCCCAGCAGGTCTCAATCTCAACAGGCCCCCCGAGTAGTCCCAGCTGGCCCTAAAGGCCCTCTTGGACCCTGGCGGGGCCCTCTAGGTGCTCTAAAGGGCCCTTTTTCTGCCGCCCTCGCTGCCCCCGCATTTATCGCCCCCCCTTCTACGCGATGCCAATGTTTACTCTACATGTCGGCCTCCGGGGACGCCGCTCTCGGCACGGATCAGCGACGGACAGGCTGACCCAGCAAGGCGGACGGGGCGGCACGATGATCCATTCTCTCGTCCCAGGACCGCCAGGCATGGATCCGGGACGGACAAGCTGCCCCTAGCGAAAGGGATCCGGATGTCGGGGGCCACCCCGCAACTGCGGATCAGAGTCAGGGAGCGGGCGCGGGGTGGGTCGCGTGTGGGTCGCGGGTGGGTCGCGGGGTGGCTCGTGGAGAGGGTCGGGGGTGGGTCGGGGGTGGGTCGCGGGAGGTCACCTCGCGCATCTGGACGAGCAGCGCCAAACTACGCTGCAACTGATCGCCCTTGACGTGCGCCCTGACCCCAGCACTGTAACTGATGAGGTCGGGCTCCGACTTCACCTCTCGCGTCTCGTTGAGCATCAACAGAGCCTGTTGCCATGGACTGCCCTTCTCGCCGGGCTGATCCCACCGCTGCCACTGATGATGGCATTGGGTGGGCTCCAGAGCCGCCTCCCATATCTCGCTGAGCAGCGCCAGCGCCGGCTGCCACTGCTCGTCTCTTCTTGCGCCCGCTGGTGCCAGCGCTATAGTTCTGATGAGGTCCGAATCCGAACACCACCTCCCGCATATCGCTTCACAACGCCAGAGCCCGCTGCCACTGCCAACCCTTCACTCACGCGCTGTTCCACAGTGGTGTAGCCGACTAGCCTGTCTCTCCGCAGAACAGGGCCGATCGCAGGGCTATAGCTGGCTGCGTTGGGCTCCAGCTTTGCCTCCCGCATCTCGTTCAGCAGCGACAGGGCGTGCTGCGCCCGCCCTTCGCGCACGCGCTGATCCCAGCGCTGTGCTGATGACGTTGGGCTCCACCTTCGCTTCTCATATCTCGCTCAGCAACGCCAGCGCCCGCTGCCACTGCTTGCCCTTCTCGCACGCGCTGATCCCAGCGCTGTAGCCGATGGCATTGGGCTCCAGCGCCGCCTCCCGCATCTCTCTCAGCAGCGCAAGCGCCCGCTGCCACTGCTCGCCCCTCTCGCACGCACTGATCCCAGCAATGTAGCTGATGGCGTCGGGCTCCACCCTCGCTCCCCGCATCTCGCTCAGTAGCGCCAGCGCCCGCTGCCATTGCTCGCCCTTCTCGCACGCGCTGATCCCAGCGCTGAAGCTGACCAGTGTGTACCTGTGGTGTGATCACATCTATCGCCGTTGAGGGGGGCAGTGCTTGTAGGGCGCGCCTGCGACACAGAAGGAAACAGTTCTTCTGGGCTCCAGGCAAAAGTCAGGCGAGCTCCTGGGAGGCTCCAATAGGGCCCCAAGTGCACCCCAAGAGGGCCCAAAGGAAATGGCGTCACTCCACTTGATTTTGGGCTCTCTCGGAATGCACTTCAAGACGACTTCGAAGCCTCCTTGTGGTCTCGTGGGGCCCGCTCCTGCGTACCCTGTGGCTTCAGGCGGGACTGAGGCGGCCTCCAGGAGCGCTCGGAGAGCGCCCCAAGTGCGCACAGTGGGCCCGGAGAGACTCCACAAGCAAGTGGCGTCACTGCACTTGCTTTTGGGCTCTTAATTCAGATCTTGCCGGCGCTTGACGCTTGAGCGCTTGTCGGACGATCCGCAGAAATCTGCGAGAACCTGATGGCGCCTGGGAGAATTCGGAAGAATCTGGAAGAACTTGGGACAATTCGGAAGAATATGGAATAATCTGCAAGCGTCGATCATCACCATCATCATCATCATCATCATCATCATCATCATCATCATCATCATCATCATCATCATCATCCTCAGCCTCATCCTCATCCTCATCCTCATCCTCATCCTCATCCTCATCCTCATCCTCATCCTCATCATCACCATCATCACCACCACCATCATCATCATCATCATCATCATCATCATCATCATCATCATCATCATCATCAGCATCAGCATCATCATCATCATCCCCCCTCCTCCTCCTCCTCCTCCTCCTCTTCCTCCTCCTCCTCTTCTTCCTCCCTCTCCTCCTCCTCCTCCCCCTCTTCCTCCTCCTCCTCTTCTTCCTCCCTCTCCTCCTCCTCCTCCCCCTCTTCCTCCTCCTCCTTTCCTTCTCCTCCTTCGCCTCCTGTTCCTGCCCCTCCTCCTCCTCCTCCCCCTCCTTCTCCTCCTCCCCCTCCTCCTCCTCCTCTTTCTCCTTCTCCTCCTCCTCCTCCTCTTCCTCCTCCTCCTCCTTTCCCTCCTCCTCCTCCTCCGGTAATACGGACAATGACTAACCCGGAGAGTAAGACTAATAATAAGAGTACGACTAAGAACACGAATAAGAAGACTAGCAGTAATAATAAAAGCACGAATGAGAAAATAAACAGGACAAACACAGACACGTAACATGAAGAGATAAAGGCACATATGGAAACCATCGAACATGACAAGAATGTGGAAAGGAAAACGAAAAAGGATGTGAAGAATCATGAGCATACGTATAAGACTGGAAGTGAAAATGCGACTATGAGTACGACTGGAACTAACAATGACACGTGTATATATATATGTATATATACACATACACACATATATATGCTAACATTAAGAGCAATGACAATGGTGAGAACAATACGAATAGCAATCCGCTGGGAAATAATAATACGACCACAAAACAAGAATACGAAACACAGTTTTAAAAGCGAGGAAAACAAAATACGATGAACAGGGTATCCGATATAGGAGGAAAAAAGACGAAGATAAATAATAATACGCCGAATAGAAATAAGACTAGGAAGAGTAATACTAAGAAAACGGATGCGAAAACTCAAAAAAAAGTATCAAGGATGCGAATAGAATTCGGATTGAGAAGTAAGAATATGGATAAGAATGTCAATACGACGAATACGAATACTAATAATAAAAAGCATCGCCAGGGAATCATATCCAGAATATGACATAATGATTCAGATCCGAATGAGAAGCAAATTCCAAATCGAAGGTGTGCCGGTAAACTTTCCATATATCGGGATAAACTCATAAACATTTAAATAAATTTAGGTAAATTGAAACAGCCAACATGAAATTAGGTAAGTTCAGATAAATTCAGATAACTTCAGATAACTTCAAATAAAGTCTGATAATGTTAGATGAAGTTACATAAATTTAGACAAACTCAACAAATGAAAAACAACCTCAAGATCTAATAACATTTGGTTACTTGAGATACTGTTATATTGTATAATCTATTTTAACTCTCATATATGTGTGTATATATATATATATATATATATATATAGCCGGACACCTTTCGATACTTATGAAGTGCGTTTGGTTACCCGAATGTATTTCAGATCAGATCCAACAAACAGATCTGGATACTGCTACAATGATTCAGGTCCAGAATCGGATCCAACAAATCACAGCCAGAGGCCCATAACCAGACAATCAGGTCCGAATGATCACATCCAGACAATCGGACCCAGAAAACCTAATCCATGTATCTATTTACATATAATGTTCAAAAAAAAAAATCAAGAAGCCAGAAACAGGAATTCACACACCGACGCCCGCCCTCCCCCTCTCCGTCCCCGTCCTCCCCCTCCTCCTCCTCCTCTTCCTCTTCTTCTTCTTCATATTAGCATTTTTATGATTCGAATCATTATTGCTATGACTTTTGTTATTATTACTGATATCATGGTTATTAGTCGTATTCTAATTATTGATATTATTAGTATTATTAGTAACAGTATTCTGCGTATTAATATTATCGTGTGGGTTATCCTTCTTCTCCTTCGTACCAGCACTCTTCATCATATTATTATTCCTCCTCCTCCTCATCCTTCTCCTCCCATTCCTCCTCCTCCTGCTCCTCCCCCTCCTCCTGATCCTCCTCCTCCTCCTCCTTCTCCTCCTCCCCCTCCTCCTCCTCCTCCTCCCCCTCCTCCTCCTCCTCCTTCTCTCCTCCTGCTCTCCCTCCTCCTCCCCTCTCTCTTCTCCTCCTCCTCCTCCTCCTGCTCTTCCTCCTCCTCCTCCTCCTCCTCCTCCCTCCTCCTCCCCCTCCTCCTCCTCTCCTCTCCTCGTCCTCCTCCTCCTCCTCCTCCTCCTCCTCCTCCTCCCTCCTCCTCCTCCTCCTCCCCTCCTCCTGCTCCTCCTCCCTCTTCGTTTCCCTCCTCCTGCTCCTCCTCCTCCTCCTCCTCCATCTCCTCCTCCTCCTCCTCCTCCTCCTTCTCTTCTCCTCTCCCTCTCCCCTCTCCCCTCCTCCTCCTCCTCCTCCTCCTCCTCCCTCCTCCTCCTCCTCTTCCTCCTCCTCCTCCTCCTCCTCCTCCTCCTCCTGCTCCTCTCATCATCATCATCATCATCATCATCATCATCATCATCATCATCATCAGCATCATCATCATCATCATCATCATCATCATCATCATCATCATCATCATCAGCATCAGCATCAGCATCAGCATCACATCAGCATCAGCATCATCATCATCATCAGCATCATCATCATCATCATCATCATCATCATCATCATCAGCATCATCATCATCATCATCATCATCATCATCCTTCTCCCCCTTCCCCTCCTCTCCACCCCCCTCCTACTCTTCCTCCTCCTCCTCGTCCTCCTCCGCCCCCCCTCCTCCTCTGGCGACGCAGGAACCCTAGGCCACACTCGAGACGCATCATAACGTCCGGACCCGCGGCCCCCACCAGGACAGGAAATGAAAGGCGCGGAAGGAATTGCCCCGCGCTGTCGCCAGCACCGAACCCGCGGAGGGAGGCTGGAGGAGAGATGGCGAGGGACAAGCTAAGCGCGTTCGCGCCACATCTGACGTCCGACCACTCCTCCCTTCCCACTGAGCCACGTTTTGTCCTAGTCGACGGGCCGAATGTCCAATCGGACCAGAACGCGCCGATGGCATCTGCACCGCTTGCCTCGCCGACCATTGTCCGAAGGGTAAACGGGCCAGACTGGACCAGGACGCACATAGGTAGGGCGGGAATGGCTGGGTGGCCGGATTTCCGACTCCCCGCGCGGCCACTGGGCGACCATTGGGGCTCGCCGCGGGCGCCCCGAGGGCACCTCCCAGATCGCTGGGGCGTCTCGGCGCACCCTGCTCCACGCACCCACCTCATGACACCTCGCTCGCGCTGCACGGGTGCATCCATGAAGCGCCCAAAGCGTCAGACGCCAAGAAGATGCTAAAGAGCTCTCTTGAAATCCATTCGAAGACGCTCTGAAAACCCTCATGGGGCCTCTCGGGACCTGCTCGGGCCTACGCTGAGGCTAGAAAGGCGGGCCCTAGGCGGCGCCTGGGAGCACTCCGAGAGGGCCCCGAATGGGCCCAGAGAGAATCCCAAAGCAAATGGAGTGACGCCACTTGCATGTGGGTCATCTTGAAGGGCTTTGGGAGTCATCGGGGGGTCTCCCCTTGAAGCCTCTCGGGGCCCCTTCGGAGCTACCCTGGGGCCCCAGGTTGAAGTCAGGCAAGCTCCTGGGAGAAGCCACCAGGGCCCCAAGTGCACCCCAAGAGGGCCCCAAAGGAACTGGCGTCACTTAGCTTGCTTGCGGGCTCTGTCGGAATGCGCTTCAAGTCGGCCTCGAAACCTCCCCGTGATCTCGCGGGGCCCGCTCCTGCCCACCCTGCGGCTCCAGGCGGGACTGAAGCGGCCTCT